ATTACATTAGATAATTAGGATAGGGTTAACTTTACTAGTCTGTCATTAATAAGATCATAAGATTAGGATAATATTCCCAAAATAAAAAGTTAGATCATAAAACAAAATGATCATTTAAATGATTATTGTTCATTGCTGAAAGAATAACGAGTTAAAATATCAAAGAATTTAGAGAAGAGAATTCTATTAAGAATTTTTCATTAATTAATTGGTAATTTCCTATGAATATATCTTAACTATCTCAGCATTGAGCAGAAAAAATGTACGAGAGCAATTCTTTCCCGACATATCATCATTACAGTATTTTGGATACCATTGAAATACTCATCATTCATGCAGCAAATACCCCCGTATTTGAAATGGGAGATCGAAGTAATCACTCATATTCCTCTACGACGATTCAAAAAATTCAAAAGCAAAAGTGATGCAAATATCAGAGCCATCATGAACAATGTTATCAACCTCCCTAAAGTGATATCGTTAATCAGATAGTTCAGATATATTAACAAGCAGAAATTAGCTTAAAATCAACAAGCATTAACCATTGTAGAATCAACTACTGCTAATTAATTAAGCAATTATACATTTTCTTTCATAGAATTCTACCGAGGTACTCCTGTTCTTCATGACCAAAATGCGACAGCTATATCATATATTTTTGAAATCTACTATGCATCAATGGGAAATGTTGTCTGTTGTAGAATATCGAATAAAATCTTCAATTGGTTCTTCGGAAATCTCTGCAATTTAATTTTTTTTTCTTTCCTTCCCTTCTCCTCGTAGCATTCGTGCATAATCGATTGCAAAAAGTAAAAGTTAATGATACAATAATATATTTAATAAAAAGCAGTGAACTAAAAAAGAGAAAAACCGTATACGTAATAAAATGACGTGTGATAGATTTACATATCTTTCTGGATTAATACCGCTAAAATTTAAAAAAAAGTAGCTATACGTAAACGCTCTTCCATTCAAAGGATAAAATTGCGTGAAATATTTCTTTGCAGATAAACCAAGTGATGGCTGCTATATTATGGAGACGTTATTTATTATCTTCCTAAGCATTAGCGAAGCTTAGTATACTAGATTATATTATTCTTATCAGAAGAAACAAGATATATCTCCCATCTATTTAATTCGTATTTCTACCAAAACTGGGAACACCACAGAAAGGAACGATAAATCAAAAACAATAACAATGGTAATATATCGAAATACATATATTAGTATCATCGAGACTATTGATTATCAACCATTAAGACATACGTTACAATATGAGATTTGATCCAGTAGCATAAGTATTTGTAAATGATAGACTTGATGCCTTTTAGTTTGTCAACTGCAAGTTCTTTTTCAACAGCAGCCTCTCTGCTGGATGTCTCACTCACTATTACGATTACAGAAACAGAAATTTCACGTTTTTTAGAACAGACCCAATAGCATGTTGAAAAGCACTCCCAACTCAAATGGTAAAAATTGCTTATGGAAGTTAATGTGCGAGCTGAAATACTGAAAATTATATATATCCGGAGCTTAAACTTGGTTCCAGTTTAATTTAATATCTAATTTCAGTTTTCGTTAAATTTTCCATCATTAACTGTGAATTATTTTAGCATAACTTACACTAGGTAAAATGAAATTCGTCGATTTCAAGGCATAAAGAATTAAAATTTAGAGATTCAATACATTGAACTCTATTACATAGTTAAAGCGCTGCATCTCGCAGCATATTTAGCATGGCACATTTACTCCTATTAGAAAAAAATTCAGAGAAATGTGAGCTTAACCAACTAAGGATATCTTCACTCTCTAACAAATCAGTTTTGACAAGCTAATATGAATAATAATCCCTGCAAATTTAGCGCAACCAAATTATTCCGATAGCTTCACTGCTTCCAAACTCTCATTATATAGTATATTACATTTAGCGTCATCCAATGAATTCGACGAAGAAGTATGTTCTTTACATTCCCTAAAATAAAGTTTTCGTCGAAAATTGTTCACCTCGCCGAAACTTTTAAATTCAGCTTGCAATTATGAAGTTTTTAAACAACAACAGGATATGTCTGAAACTATTGTAAATAAAAGTAGCAAAAAAAATTTGAAGTAGCAAAATCAAATATTTCAACCTTCTATTATAGGAAAGAGCTGAAATACAGGAACATCATTTTTGACAATTCCTATAAAAACACAGATTTGAACGTTACTAATCTTCGCAAAATATTTCAAAGACAAACCCAAAATATCTGCCTGAAATACCCTCCACATTTTTGCTTAACGCTACATATAATGTTGTCTGCGCACCATCCTAAAAATAATTAGGCCTAAAAATATAGCCGCAAAAAGTTATCTTTATGGTGACTCTTAAATAAACTTTTTCCCTTTATTAGCCCTTCGAACTAAGCCAACAATAAAATTTAAATCTTGTCTTGGGATATAGTTTATTGAAATGATTACAACATTCAATCTAAATTCGTTTTTTTAAAGACCAAAAAAGACGTTGCCAAAAACTGCACATTATCCTCTATCAAGTGTAATAATACCTGCAACTCCAATTACTTGATTTTTCAAGGAAAATAATCGAGGAAATTACCTTATCAGTTTTCATGAAGAACCACAGAATTGGAGAGATGATTTTTAGGATATATTTCCGGCTGAAAATCGTGTAGCGCATAAGTTCAGTGAAACAAACACCAGGATGTACAGCATTGATTGTCACTGTAGTTCCTGGATCCTTTGTCCTTAGTCGTCTTGTTAATTCACGGGCATGCATAACCTAGAATTTTTGCAATACAAATAACAAACGCTTGGATAAGTTCTGCAAACAAACAGTCCATCGAACCTCTAAATTTTGCTAATCGTGTAGAATTTGCTATTTCAAATTCTAAAGTTAAAAAAAAGAAAACAAATAACCTGAGCTAACTTAGATCTGCCGTAAGGCATCGATTTACTGAAGTACTTTTTGTTGTTAACTATGGAAATATCAACACTATCAGCTGTCTTGTGAAGTGAACTGGAAACGTTAATAATTCGTCCATTCGGTGATTTCATAATCAACGGGAGTAGTAGTTCAGTAAGTAAAAAGTGTCCTGTAAAAATATTTTAGTGAATGTTAATTCTTTGTATTCTTAATGGTTAAATACATCACAATAAAAAACGTGGCATTTCGTTATTGCACACTGCTGTTATGTTTACAAAAAAACACACTAATAGTATGCTGAAATGTGAAATGATATGAAATGTTAAACATAATATCACCTTGTGATAAGTTAAACTTCGCAAGCTTGTACATCACCCAGAACAACTAGGAAATAGCGCAATTTTTTTTCTTTTTTTTTTTTTTGCAAATAAAATAGTGGCAAATAAATATGCATTAGCATAAGTCAAATATTCGAAAATTTTAATTGTTGTACTGAAAAGAAGTTTATGAAGAAATAACACATGGTATATATGAATAAGACGAGTAGGATCCACTTATCTTCCTATGACAGTTCATGAAATCGGAATTTTTTCAAAAATACATACCGAGGTAATTCGTTTGCCATGTAATTTCATGGCCATCTTCTGTCAACTCGAATTTTGGATAAAACATTATTCCTGCATTGTTTACAAGTATGTCTATTTTACCCACTTCTTAAAAGCACGGATTATCAATTTCAAGATGAATAAAAAAAGCATGTTTGATCACATTTGGAACATAGTCGTGCTATTACGCACAAAAAGTAAAGTAGGATAGAAATAATCTATTCAGTATTAGGTAATTGTAACATGAGAATAGTCTGCATTAAATTAAAGTTCGAAAATTATTCTAACATTTCGAAATTCAGAATCTGATTCCTTTTAAATATATAAAATTAACACACATTACAGATTCTGAATAACACTCCAAGTAAGGAAGTCCTGATTATGCATTAAATGATATGATATGATATATTAAATAACATAAACTAACCGCGCTTGATTTCATCAGAAAATTTTCGAATCGTTGCAAACCTGGCCAAATCCACCTCTTTCAATATTAACCTCGTTGGATCACAACCCAACTTAAATGGAAGCAGAGTAAAAATAAAAGAATGCGATGTAAAATCTTATTTTTACTTAATTAACAAGAAGTAAAAATAAGTCGGAAAATCTTACAATACTTCAGGTGTCGGAAAACCTTACAATACATAATTATAAAATAAAATTACATCAACTGATTTTATAGACCTTTTTCACAAGCGGTTATCTAAGCATGGACGTTTCTATTCTGCAAAAAAGAGCAACCAGAATACGCAATCAAGTTGGCACATAATATCTTAGATCGGTAATTAGGTTAGGGGTGCATGAAGGACACATCACAATTCTGTGCAATCTTTAACCTCTCAAAAATTCCTTACTTTTGTCAATTCGATTCTTGCATTTTGCGATTTTGCATGATTTCTGCATAACATGTAAACGGTGGCACCCCGAAGGTTAAGCTCTCGAGCTGTTTGCTTCCCTATACCCGCACTTGCACCAGTAACTAATGCTATTTTTCCTCTTGCTTCCACATATTCATTGAATTGTGCACCTTTCAAATAACGTCTGAAAAGGGAAACAGTATTTATTTTTTATTCATTCTTCTGTTCAAATCGATGTAAATTCATTTCGAATATAACATGGGAGAAAAAATGCAAATGCTTTTTGATTTACACTGACGGTGCCATATGCCTCTGATAGGGGTTCCATGCCAAACAGGTCTCAAGGTGAAAGGTCAGACAAAGTATGTCCACGGACAGAATGAACTCGCTGGCCTCCAGTAATAACCTAATCCATCTAAGAGAAGGATACTCTAACCAAACCTGCATCCTGAGGGCTTCACTGTCACGGTCCTAGCTTTCTAGGCCACATTTATTGCCTTATTTACTTACTCACTGCTTCATTTAATTTAAATCTCTCCTTTTTTATTCCATAACAATTAACTAAGAAGAATTTGTGTGTTGTAGAATGGAGGAAATGGGTGTCGGGATCGAACCATTCTATTCTCCATTACAAACCAGTTGTACGGTTACTTTTACTACCAATATTTATTGTTTCATTATAAAAGATAACTAATTTACAGTTACTATATTTTACATACATACTCACAGGAAGTATTCGTATAGTGGTAGGAAATTCAAAGCTGATATATCACTGATTTGTGTTAACTACGACGGTCGGTCAACATTAGATCGTCCTTTTACCCGTGTAAACCAGATCATATCGAAAATTTCCATTTCTAGGAAAGGCCTTTAAAGGTGAAACAAATATGCAAACTTTTAATTACAATCACCTCAGGAAATAGATGCCAGCACATGTCAAAACTCCAAACAATGGGACCGACAAGCTTCCAAAATATGCTTCGTCTGATGCCATCGAAAACCCTGCAATTCGGCCGTTTAATCAATCACTATCAACTACTCAGCTATCAACCTTGCAACATAACACGTCCCGCTCGATTTCAACCCTATTCATGCCATACCTCGAAAAAGACATTTGAGACGGTTTCAGAGCAAAAGTAGTCATTGAAATTCGGGTTTGCATAAACAGTAATTTAATTTGATTGATTCGATAAATGATAGAGATGGAAGGGTGTGCTTAAGACAGTAAATTTGTCGAATGATACTGCCAGGTAAGTGGGTCGTTATTTGAATTTAGCCAAATATTGACGGACGGATGCGTAGGAAGAAGTGAGAGTTCAGTGCTACTGACAGGTGAAGGGTAGTAAATTCGAGACATCATTGTCAATGTTGTATTTGTCATTCCATTAGCAAAGCATTATTGCATAACCAGACATAACCAAAAAACAGACTGTTTTTTTAAATGTTTTATTTTATTTCATTTCTCTGAAATAAACCAAAAAGAAAAAAAGAATTGTTTATGTCAACAGTTTATCTATTTCACTTTTTCAAATACAGTATCAAAGAGTCCTCTTAAAAGTCAAGCATAAAGTTGTGACAATGATAAGTTTGGTTCAAGTTTTAGACAGAAAGAGAGAGAAAGTAATGCATCATAATTTTTGCATTCTATTATTCAATTGACGAAGAATTAGTGGATTCCTCAACAATTTACTGAAAAGTTGAAGCCCTCTTAAAGGTAAAAATAAGCTCAAACAATCAGCCAAACTTCATTCGAGAAGACAATCTCCAAGGTCGTTCTGTGCCTATTTCGTTTATTGTTGGTTAATAATTATATTTCGTATCATTAAGTTTCACTTAAATCGTTGCATATCAAAGAAACCAATTCACCCTTCCCTGTTACTGATTCATCAACTCAGTGTCCACTTCTTTGCTCACCAAATTTTAACCATTCCATTTCAATATACCTTAATGAATTGAGGCGATTTATTGATTTTTTCGGGTTCCTATCCATAATAGATACCGCTCATTTGGTGTGTTTGTGTTTATTTCCCATATAGGTACTATGCATTTTGTTAACATTCATGAAAATGGGTAATTTCGATTATTACTATATTTTGTTATCAATCATATCATTATTATTTATCTCAATATTCGATTTTTTTCCTAAAAAGAATTATCCAATAATTAATTATATTTTCATGATATGTGAAATGAGATTAAAATCTAACAGTTCTTCCTAAATATTGATGAAATGTAATATTATCAATGAAAGGAATACAACATAATTAATGTAACTAAGTCAGAAACGCATTGGTTCCGATACTAGTAAAACATCAGATCGAAATACGTCAGTTACAGGAGTACTAGCTCTTCGATGCTAGTGATATGCCAAAATATTGTACACGACAGCCAACTTTTCAATGGTAATAATATGTCGCATACATCGATTACAAAAGTGCTAGCATTTTCTTTAATTCAAAACTATCATAATGATCATGTATGTTTATGGCTTTCTCTGGAATTGATTAAATATCATCGCATTCATTCCCAATAGGTACCATTCGTTTGATACCATTGACTTGTTATCAATGATATGTATCAATTCCCCCCATCGAACTGTATATTTGGTTTTATTACAGTGATAGGTTTTTTTTTTTACCTTTTCACAGCTTTTTGCACTTTAAAAGTATAAATATATGCGAGCAATCAATAAAGATCTCAAAGTGAGAATTCTGAGAATTCTTCAGCTGAATGGATTTGATAGACCGTATACCAAATGCATTCAGCTCGAAAACTTTTGAGAGATCATGTATAAATTCAAGTGTCACCAGAAATGGGACATGTATGGAATCGCACGTCAGTTGATCTTGAAATCTGTTAGATTTCTTCACATAGTAACCGATACTTTGAGCTACCATTTGTTTCTCTTGGATTAGCTGTTAGGGATACTTTTGACCAGATTACAAGCTGCTCATGTTTTCTCAGTGCAATTTAATGGCGTATAGTTCTTGCAATGCATTTACTTTTTTAGACTTATCACTGGCTTGAACTAATGAATACAATGAAACTTTTCAGCAATCCTATATGATGGCCTACCTCCAGTTATTTGGCATCAATATTTTTTCCCTCAGTTACTCGGCAGGTAGGGCAGTAAAATGAATTTACCCAAAAAAGCTCGCAATATTTGCGTCAAATCTTCTTTAACCAAATCATGTCATTGCTATTAGTTGTTTAACAGATGATGGTAGTGTGTCTTCTTAGGTATGCCGTACGGCACTTCACCATTTCGTCACTTATCTAACCTGTACTGCCGTTTCTGTATCACAATTGTTAACTGCTCAGTCCATGTTCAAATAAGTAACTTATATGTAGGATTTGTATATTTGCACTACTAATTACATTTCTTATCAGTTGCATTGATACAACCATAATTTCCTTTTTATTTATTTATTTATTCTTTATTTCTTTTATTTTTTTATAGAAATAACATTTACTATCTGCTTGTCATTTGTTGAACTATTCGTTCACCATCTTTTTGCATATTTCTTGTCCCTAATTATT